TGGGGTGGGTTGTTTTTGTTTGTTTGTTTATTTATTTGTTTGTTTGTTTTTGTTGATGTTTATATAAAGCTGTGAAAACTTAAAAAAGATAATAAAAAAAAAAAAAAAAAAAAAGTGTCTAAAGCTCTCTTTTCCATTTCTTCCATGTAAAGATTGGCTACAATTGGTGATACTGGAGATCCCATTGCGCAGCCATGCTTCTGTCTGTAAAAATTACCTCTGAATTTGAAATAGGTTGTGGAAAGACAAAGACCCAGTAGTGTGCAGATCTGGTCCGGAGTGAAATTAGTCCTGTTGTTTAAATCACTATCTTGTTCAAGACGTGTCCTGACTGTTTCCACTGCCTCTGTTATAGGTATGCATGTGAAAAGTGAAGTAACATCAAACGATACCAAGGTTTCTCCTGGAGCCATCCTTAAATGTTTGGCTTTGTTGGCAAAGTCTTTGGAGTTTTCTATGTGATGTGGTGTGTTCCCCACCAAGGGAGCTAAGATATTAGTAAGCTGTTTAGCAATGTTGTATGTTACTGAGTTAATGCTGCTGACGATATGGACTTCACCAAACCCTTATCTGATCCCCTTCTGCCTTATCCCTTCTGCCTTATCTGATCTATTTTGTGCGAGATAGCTTCAATTGTGAAATGAGTCTGTCTAATCCTCTCACTAAGCAGCTTTTTGTGCGCATTCCTAAGAATCTCTTCTGCCCTGTGTCCTTTGATAGTAGACTTCAGTCTTAGACTGTTGGGAATGAGACCTTGCTGTCTACATCTTAAATTGAAACGTAGATGATTCCTATAATCTGCAAGTTTCCTAAGCAATTTCTCATACTCACGCGTTATCCCGAGGGTGTCTTTCCCAAAATGGAGTGCAATATGCTGATGAAGGTTCTCAGTCATCCAGGTCATAGTCATTCCGTAAAAATTCAAAAAATATCCACTGGACTTGGTTTTCAAGATTTGAAGACGTTTCGCCACCTCTCCAGGAAGCTTTCTCAATTCAAATGTCTGGATCCGCAGTGAGTTTGAGTCTTATATAGACACGCCTTGTATCGCTTGGAAACATGCAATGGTAACCGATGAATGGGTCGTTAGTTCCATCGTTAGCCTGTAATACCTGAAACCTGTCTATGATTGTTAAGGGTTGGTCGTTAAGGAGGTATTGTTCACCGGCTGGGGCGGGTAGGTCCCTCGTTCCTCTGTGATGGGGTGGGGGGTTTGGTGATAGTTTGGTGAAGTTATATGGACTTCCAAAAATTCACAAAGAAGGGGCACCACTCAGGCCCATCGTCAGCAGCATTAACTCAGTAACATACAACATTGCTAAACAGCTTACTAATATCTTAGCTCCCTTGGTGGGGAACACACCACATCACATAGAAAACTCCAAAGACTTTGCCAACAAAGCCAAACATTTAAGGATGGCTCCAGGAGAAACCTTGGTATCGTTTGATGTTACTTCACTTTTCACATGCATACCTATAACAGAGGCAGTGGAAACAGTCAGGACACGTCTTGAACAAGATAGTGATTTAAACAACAGGACTAATTTCACTCCGGACCAGATCTGCACACTACTGGGCCTTTGTCTTTCCACAACCTATTTCAAATTCAGAGGTAATTTTTACAGACAAAAGCATGGCTGCGCAATGGGATCTCCAGTATCACCAATTGTAGCCAATCTTTACATGGAAGAAATGGAAAAGAGAGCTTTAGACACTTTCAATGGAATACCACCAAGCCACTGGTTTAGATACGTGGATGACACTTTCGTCAAAATCCAACTAGAGGAAGTGGAAGCTTTCACCAAACACATCAACTCTGTTGACCGTAACATCAAATTCACCAGAGAGGATGCCAAGGACAACAAACTACCCTTTCTGGACTGCCTGGTGAGCATGGAAGGAGATGGAAGCCTAAACATTGAAGTGTATAGGAAACCTACTCACACAGACCAGTATCTTCTTTTTGACTCACACCACCCACTGGAACACAAACTCTCAGTCATCAGAACCTTACAACACCGGGCAGAACATGTCCCTACTAAAACAGATGGGAAGCAAAAAGAACAGAAACACATCAAAGATGCTCTCCAAAACTGTGGATATCCAAACTGGGCTTTTATCAAATCAGCAAGGAAATCCAAAAGACACGCAACAGAAGACAGCGATGGGAAAATTAAACGCAAAAACATCACAATCCCTTATGTTGCTGGAGTGTCTGAAAAGCTCAAGAGGATTTTCTCCAAACACAAGATCCCAGTACATTTCAAGCCAAACCAAACCCTTAAACAGAGGCTAGTGCACCCTAAAGATAAAACCTCCAGACCGAATATGAGCGGAGTGGTATATGCTGTTCAGTGCAGCGAGGAATGCTCTGATCTTTATATTGGCGAAACAAAACAACCTCTCCACAGACGCATGGCCCAACACAGAAGAGCGGCCGCCTCTGGACAAGACTCCGCAGTACACCTACACCTTATGGACAAAGGACATTCTTTTGAGGACCAGAATGTCCATATTCTGGATAAAGAAAATAGGTGGTTTGAGAGGGGCGTGAAGGAAGCCATCTGTTAAGAGAGAAAAACCAACTTTAAACAGAGGTGGTGGACTCAGATTCCAGCTTCCAAAAACATACAATTCAATCATAGACATGATCCCTTCCAGATATCACCAAACCCCCCACCCCATCACAGAGGAACGAGGGACCTACCCGCCCCAGCCGGTGAACAATACCTCCTTAACGACCAACCCTTAACAATCATAGACAGGTTTCAGGTATTACAGGAGACAATCCCCCCCGTTAATGGCAATCCCCCCCTTTAACGACCGACCCCTAGAATCATAGACAGGTTCAGATATTACAGGCTAACGATGGAACTAACGACCCATTCATCGGTTACCATTGCATGTTTCCAAGCGATACAAGGCGTGTATATAAGACTCAAACTCACTGCGGATCCAGACATTTGAATTGAGAAAGCTTCCTGGAGAGGTGGCGAAACGTCTTCAAATCTTGAAAACCAAGTCCAGTGGATATTTTTTGAATTTTTACGGAATGACAGGTTCAGATATTACAGGCTAACGATGGAACTAAACGACCCATTCATCGGTTACCATTTGCATGTTCCCAAGCAATACAAGGCTTTGTCTATATAAGACTCAAACTCACTGCGGATCCAGACATTTGAATTGAGAAAGCTTCATTGAGAGGTGGCGAAACGTCTTCAAATCTTGAAAGCCAAGTCCAGTGGATATTTTTTGAATTGTTACAGAATGACTATGACCTGGATGACTGAGAACCTTCATCAGCATATTTCCTCTGAGAGGAAGGAGAAGAAGAATCCTTGTTTGCGCATGCCCACAGAGCAATTTGTCCAAGACGGTCGGGAGAAAATTGGACATGATTGATTTTCTGCCGACCTAATGATTCCTGATCGGGAGGTGGTCGTCCCCTGACGCCCCTCGTTACCCTTTGTACACTACACAACGCACAACCAGGCTGAAAGTCAGTCCGATCGGAAAATTCTCGCATGACTGGAAAGTCATCCTGAAAAGGGCTAAAAATCGCACAGTTTAAGCCCGTCTAAAGTGAAACCTTCTTTTGGGGGAGCAAAACTCTATTAAAGTAATCCTTATTAAAAAGTGGTCAGAAGAGGACAGGATCTCCACCATCGCTACAGGCATGCTTAGTGTGAGGGACTGCCTTCGAGTCAATGAGTCAATGCAATCAACTGATTCTCCTTAGATAGAAAACTTTGAATCAATTTAACTGTATGATCTGGTGAACTGTAAAGTGCATGACGTGTTGTGAATTGGCGCTATATAATTAAACTGAATTGATTTGTTAGCTGCTAGGCTGGGTTTTTTGTGGTATAAAATACAAGCTTTAAAAACTAGGACAGTTATATGTCTTCATGACATATTCCATTTTTTTATTTTTTTGAGGTTTTTACAACACAAATTTTACTAGGCTAATTTTGACTAATTTTGGCACATTTTTACTAGTGCACTAGTGCCGTTTTTGCGGCACCACTGGCTAGTTTTCACAGTAGGCTGACAGGGAAGAAGGTATGGGAGAAGGGGAGAGACATGCGACAAAGGACCACAGGTTGGATTCCAGCCTGGGTCATCGAGGACTAAGGCCACCGTACACACTAACCACTAGGTCACCAAAGCACGCCAAAATGGCACATTCCCATTCGTGCGTAAAGATTAAGAACACTGAGATATGAAGGAGGACCTTATTTAATGCTATCCATGACAAGAGAAATTAATGTGATGATGTAATTTCTGCTTAATCTTGTAGCCAACTTTTCCTCGAAAGGCCTAAAGGGTTTCTATAACGGTTGCATATATTTTGAGGGACATAAAATAAGAGCACAGTATATACCATATAAAATAGGTCTGTGATACAATGCAATGTTGAAATAATGCCAAAGAAGACACATTAACAAAATCTTACACTTAAAATCTGATTTAAACTCGTTTTATCTCTCTGACATTTGGTGTGTAACTTTGACATCACGAGGGACAATTTTAAAAAACAACGTTTTAGGGAGCACTCAGGAGCTATTTGGTTTTGCAAATAATATTTAGGAAATAAATTCAGGAATTACTTTTACTACAGCTAAAGTTATATTATGTTTTCAGATTACTTGAATTACTTTAATTTACATAACAGGTGTGTGTGCATTCAATTTTTACATGGATTGTTTAACATTTCATGGCAGGGACATAACATATCCTCCATTTCTGGAATAACCCCTAAAGTGAATATATATAAATATCAATTGCCAAAACATTCTGAAAGTTAAAATGCAAACCATATTAAATATGGTTCATCAGACAACTGAATGAGGAATCTGTATTTATTACTTCTTGTCTCTGGAAAATAACTTTTCAGCTTTGTAACAATTCTTTTAAAAAATTAAGACACATTGAACTTTATTACACATTGAACATACCAGTAATTCAAACAAATTTGTAACATAAGTTTTTGCATCTGTGTTCATCCATTAACTATGTAAACAAGACTAAAAATAACAGTGATGTGGGCAAAAGGAGCAGGCCGGCACTTGCACTGCTGGCGCTATTGCAGTAGTCACCCTGGCAGCAGCTGCTTCCCAATCCAATATAATTTTGAAAGAGCACAGAGGGATTTTCTGAGCACATAATCTTGGAGGCACAGCCTTTCAGGGTCTGGACTTCCCCTCCTACATTTACTGAGAAGATGAAAACAAATACATTAATGTGGTTCACTTCTTTAATCGTAGAAGCTCATGACATTTTTTTAAAAGAAAGATGTGGAACTTAGAAAATAAAACAGATGTCTCACTTGTTGATTTGATGCAGTAGTCCTGATCTCCATCACAGTTTAGAGTTTTCATGCACTGATTTCCTTCACAGCTGAAGCACTTTTTTCCATTTGGAACAAAGTTGGGCTCTGAAACACAACAATTTGGGGATTTTTACATTATGTAGTCCCAGTTAAACGTTTAAAAAAACACATTATTCAAACTGCATGCAGTTCTTAACACAAGAATCTGTTTAAAATGTGTGGATGCTTTGGACAAAATAAAAGTAAATTGTAGATGCAGAATACTTTATTCATAAAGGTATTGGTTCAAAAACAAAACTGAACAAGTTTCAAATTACCAGATGCATGCTGGATGTTGCAAAGCTCTGAGGAGCAGCATTCACTCACTATCACAGTTTTATCAGATCCAAAGTTGACTGAGCCTCTAATGCAATCTCCACGCAGAGCACACATTTTGGCTTTGATCTCTTTGTCCTTAGAGGCACCTACAAAATGTACAAAGTAGAACTAATAAACGAGTGCCTAAAAGGTGAATGAAAGCAAATTGTGATCATATAGTTTATACCTGCATATGTTACCAATCTCATTGCTGCACATAGATTATTTGGTGAGGGACATTCCTTTGCTGTGTCAATGCAGGTTTCAGAGGTTCCTGGTACACACTCGAAACATTTCAGGGCATTGGCTGATAATAGATCAGGTCAAAGGTATTAAAGTACTTTGAATCCTTTCTCAAAAATATTATTTGGAAAAGACAAACCAAATGCTTTTAAAATATCGAATAACAAGCAGCTAAAATGCAGAGACATCGTCAATTAAAAGCCAATTACAGTACTGGTTATTGAAGTGCAGTAATAAAACATAAAAAAAAAACATATAGAACAAAATTGCATGGGTAAAAAAACTTACCTTTTGAAAGAAGCAATACCCCAACAACCAGTGTGACCAAATACATTTTGTTAGTATCAGCAAATAACCAAGCCTTTCTTTGATTTATATATGTGGCTCACTTTAGCGGGGCTTGTCTCTTGGTTTTAGACCACACCTTCATCTCTCCTGTGTTTTGGTGAATACAAATAGTTTTAGAGTTAAAATATACAGGGAAGGCTTTGTAAATCATTCAATCAAAGAACAGAAATGAAGAAAAGCTGTAATTCAATTAGTGCCCAAAGCGGTATCACATAACACATGTTATTTTGAATAATTCTCTGTTTGGTGTGCCTATTAGTTTCAAGTGTACAGATATGTTTTGGTTTTTCCACTTAGCAGTTGTGTAATCTGTTTCTTTTCTATGATTTCAGATAACAGTCAACTGCTTTGTTTAAAACCTGTCTTAGAAGTTCACTGGTGATGTTTTTATGGCTTTATAGTGCACCTGAAGGAAATTATTATCTACAACAGTATATCATAAAATTTTAAAAACTTAAATTTAATAAAAAAATGGAAAATCTTTATACAGTGTTATCAATAGTTTTCAGAGCCCTATTTTGTAATATGAATGAAGACTGTGTTTAAGTGTAGCTCATCTCTATGCAATAAGTTTAGCATGGTATGATCATTGTGTTGTACAAAGTGAGGAATGTTAAGCGATTCAAAAGTAATTGACTTTATGTAACACAGCTAGGAATTCTACTAACTTTCCTTTTTATAATTTCTGCAACTTTGAACTGAGATACTCATCAATGATAACCAGAAGATAAGGGGAAATTATTAAAAATTTATATATGGGGACAAGACTCTTAATGAACACATTAATAGGATAACATCCAGAAGGCACTTTGAGGAAAAAAAAGGAAGGGTATGTTTTTCTTTGATTATTTTTTTTACTCTTAATCTCTTTTAGCATCTTGTGTAAGCCTTTACTAAGGTCCTGGTGTCTTCTGAGTTGATCATCTCCCCTAGTGGTCTGGAGGACTTCCTTCAAGCAGTGCTAATTATTAGCTTTCCTTAAAGCCACAGTGGGTAATTTTCAGCAACATCTAAGGGTTTAGACCAGGGGTCGGCAACCTGCGGCTCTTTAGTGGCCCCCCTGTGGCTCCCTGGAGCTTGCTTGTTTATTTTAATATGGTTGGCAGGAGGTTAAACAAACATTTATTATGTTTTCCAATGCTGTAAAAATGTGGAAAATAAATTCATTTAAGCAATAAATGTAAATATTTCCTTCAACAAAAATTTGCGTCATAGCCATAGAGATCAGTGGTCCTAGCCTGCAACACTCGTTCAGCATGGCTCGGTGCCAGGTAAACGAAGGGACAGGTGTGTCTCAGGCGATTTTTAATACTTCTTGCACAATGTCTGATGACTTTGTTGTTTTAGCTTTTATACAACGTCTGTATGGATATTTATTCTACTTATAAGCATTCTTTATCATTTAAACATCTTTAAATGATAATAAAGTTGAATTGGATTCTATTCTAAATATCAACAGCTGATCTTTCTTTTTCTTGTTTTGATAAAATATTTTGCAGTTTTTAAGATATCAAAGTTTCTGTCAAACGAGCACTAACCTGCTATTTTAAAAGTTGAAAACCTATGGGATGGGTAAATTAAAATCGTTATTAAAAAAATATTTTAATTCATCCTGAAATGAGACATCTTTTTATATAATTACAAGATAAAGCCTATATTTCACAGAAATAATTTACAGAGAAAGTTCTACACAGTTCTTTTTAAACGACATAAAACCCCAAGTATGAAAACCTTAAAACAACATAAACTTTACCAAAACCTCGTAGAACTCCCCCCACTGTCTTTTTTTGTAGAATTAAAGCTTAAAAAAATGTAGATGGTAACATGCAGTAAAATGGTCAAATCTTACCAAACACCCTTTGTAACTTGTAGGTAAACTTACTAGGCCGTTAAGTTTACCAGAATTTTAATGATACCTGTAGGCATAGTTAGAACTATTCTCATTTTAATTACCCTGGGTTTCATAGACAAAAAAATGCATATATACATTCAAAGATAAAATATATTTCGAAACAACATGTTTGCCAAAGAACGGTTTCAGACACCCTTAGCAGCTAGCACTACTATCAAATGTTTGACATAACTGACCTTAGCTGATGCATAGAGGCGTGCCGTTATCTGGATGTTGTTGTGGGGTTTTTGGTGAACTGATGGAGGAGTCATTGCTGTGCTCTTCAGATCATTTTGGTTGGCTGTCCAAGGTTTTAGAAGTGGTTTAGTAACACTCTCCCGGCTGGTACATCTCAATTGTTGTCATCCACTTGTGAAAGTAAAATCTTTTGGGCTCTTTTTGTCATCAAGACAATTACTATTATTGCAACATTGCAAGACAGGACACTGTTAAAAAAAAATAATAATAATTACGTTGTCATTTGCTCTTGAATTTCTTTTGATCTTTGCCTGGAGATCTTTTGATGGGTCATTTCTTGGTAGAGAGCAGGTGGGCCAGTGATCAATTGTATTGAATTTATGTGTGATACATGACATTAATGTTTAAACATGGGGGCTTTCACACTTATGTGTGTTTGGATATTTTTCTCCTTAATAATAATTTTTAAAAGACTAATTTTAAAAGGTTGCCTTCTAACTGCATTTGGTCAATATTGCTCTGGAAAAAGCTTGTTGTGTCACAAAGGAGCTCTTAAGATTATTAATTTTAATTTAAAAGCAAACATCAAATAATTTTTCTCCAGTTTAGGGATTTAGGAGCAGATGAGTAAATGTTGGATGTCAGACAGGAATTTATCAAATATTTCAACATTGTCTGGCCTTTCCATCCTGTTATGTTTTTAAAACCAACTGCAATAAAGCTTTTTTTTCCCAGAATAAAAAGTGGAGACAAATATCCGTTCAAAAAGGGAAATGAAATACCTAACATTCCTTTCATTTAAAAGGACATTTTGGTAACCATTTTATTTGCGTTCTAAACCCTGTTCAGACACATTTACCTTGCTTGGGCAGGAAAAACTACACAGAACTAGAGCAAATAAATTATTTTTTTCAGATGAAAAGGTTTAGACTGTAGGTTTTCCTGCAATCCTTTTTTTTTTTTTTTGCTTCATGACTGTCTTACTGCCAAATCTACAGTTTCCTCACTGTATATCATATGGTCTTTAAACTTTATATATTTTTAAACTTTGGTGTATTTTTTTTTTTTTTTTTTTTGAAAATTCATGGAATTAAAATAAACATGTGACTGATTGTGAAGTAGAGGGACATTTTAAATTGTTTTGTATTTTTTGCAGCTATCATGATTACAGTTTGGCTCAAAATACACATGTAATACAGACATAATTAAAAAATTTTTTGAAAAACTAAGCATCTTTGGAAGACTTAAATTGTGAAAAAAAAAAAAAACAAGAAAACATATGGGTAAAGATCTGCTGTGTCACTGCTGTGAGATAATCAAAGAAGGAAATATCGCCCTAAAGAGGATCCTGATGATTGGGAAGTATAGAAACAGCTAAAAAAAAAAAAAAACATGTTTAACACACCAGAAATGCCAAATTTAGGATTTTATAAACTGGTTCCAAGAATCCTAAATATTCCTGGAAAGATGTAATCATTTAATAGGTAAATCTGATGCATTACAAAAAGGTTTATTGATAATAGCTTTACTTCTGGTCCAATGATAATTGGAAACGCTTCCAGTCAGCTCTTCTTCATTTTACCCATTTCACCTAAACATAGCATGTTCTATACTATGAACTGCTTTGTGGCAGCTAGTTCTGATGGCTTTGAGGCCAAATTTATTAAATATGCATCTCCAGTCCTCCATTTGTCTTTGAGCAATCTTTCCAGTGTATATTTTGCTATGTGCCTTCTAAGGGGAAATGTTCCACAATTCCCCTTCAAAAAGGAAATGATCTGTATGATAAGGACAACTGCAGAGCTGTCTTAATCTAAAACAGAACTGCCAAAGTCTTGGAAAATACTATTTTTAAATCGGCCATAATAGTTCACAATAACATTCCTTTTTATATATCCCTACATTTTTTTTGTTAATTATGATCCACTTACTACTCATACTCATAACATCTGATTTAAGATTTAACAAAATTATGTAAATTTGAATAAAATATTAAAGTTATATGCACGCAAATTCTGGTGTTTCAAAGAATGAGATATAAAACAAACATAACATACAAAAAAAAAAAGTTTGGGTTTAATGAACACTCTTCAATTTTTTTTGTTATAAAATTTACAAAATCAATAGTTACAATATGTAGAATAAGTTAAATTACGGTATAGTGTTTATACTGGCAGATTAAGTAGATGGAAAATGACATTAAAAACAATAAAGCTCAATGGTGAATATTTCTTTACCTCGAGATAGATTTTATTATGTGGAGTTACTCACAATGCATGGAGCAGCCAGAAATGTTACCCAAGAGTAGTGATAAGAATATAATAAATTAAGTACAAGCCAAAAAAATCTTATTTTAAAGAATCTTTCTTATTATATTTTAACAGATAAACAATGCAAATGAATCATTAAAAAGCCACATATTAAATTCACATTAATGCCTATAAGAGAAGATGAACATAAAAGCCTGATGTACTGTTGGCATAAGAACAGATATCAAACATTGTTTTGTGATGTCAGACATTTTGAAACGGTTTTATTTATTCATTTTTTTTTATCATTTGTTTTTCTCAAACAAGAAAAAACATACAAAAAGATTTGTATTTTAGCAGAGAATATGTAGCATAAATTTATACAAGCACAGAATTCTAAAATATTCACCACTGTGCTTGGTCCAAAGGTTTAAACTTCGTTGTTCATCATTTGAGTGCAGGCGTCTCAAAGGAAACAGTTTTCTAGAATGTCGCTTTTTTTATCAAAATAAAATGTCACTGTACATCAGTAATTTTAGATGGTGCTAACAGAGGAGGCGGCTATATTCAGAGAGAGCTGAAGACTTTTTAACTCCATCCCAGATACGAGCAGCGTAGTGAAACCTGGAAAAAATAGATAAATAAAAAACAAATAAACAAAGGGAGAGAGAATTATGTTATAAGTGAAGAGATTGGAAGATCTGTAGCTTTATGCTGATAC